CTAAGGGGATTCTTTTTAAGATGTATGAAAGTTAAAAGACTTATTTCGGTTGTGCCTTTAGTCTAAGGGTTAGGATGGGTCGGAAAATCCCTATATGAGGAAATATGATCAGATCTATACAAAGCATATTTCCCTCAGCCATCTTCTTTCGTGTCCGAGGACTTCCATATTTCACGAGTTCAGCATATTTCATACATCATGGCTACGGCCATAGCACATGCTTTGGCTATGGTCGTAACGCTCACACCTGTGTCATTGCTATGTATGGTTCAACAACTATTCTCATACACACAGAGTATTCAATTATAAAGTTTTTTCCCTGTATTCTTGGTGTTTCAACAAAGAACATAGTGAGTGAGTTTATATTTCCCTGTTTATTTTTCCTAAGGTATCTAATTTTTAGCAAAAGTATTTCCAGCTTTGTTAAGTTCTCCTTCTATGTCTTTGATATGAGTTTGAGAGTAATTTTTATATTGCAACTTTGATTGGTTTATCCGATTTTAATAAAATTGTATGAAAAGGTGTTTCTTTTTCATTCAGATAGTGACTTTTTTGTAGTCTTCTACATTACGCAATTTTATGTTAAATGTTTATCCTCTTATCACCAGCTACCTTTTTAGTACATAAAGGTTCAATTTCCTCTAAGTTTCTTCTTGTTTATAGCTTCCTCAAATTGTACTTGCTAGTTTGGTTGGGTGACTAAATCCATCTAAGCCTGTGTTTTCAGTGGCTCCCGAGCTATCTGGGATTTCTGTATTAGTGGTTAAATCTTGATCCATCTCATATTCTGTCTGGAGAGGCTGAAATTTGTTAGCATGTTCTAAAATCAATGGTCCTGGTCTACTATTTATATTATATACATTATGGGGTTATATACTATGGTCATAGTAAGGGACTAGCCTCTCGTAATGAACGACTTTAGAATTTGATGACTTACAGATCCGACCTATGTCTTCATTGAGCCTGTTTAGAACTGTGTGAGGACCATCAAAGTGACTGTAAAGGAGAAAGTACTTTCCATTGAATCGAATTCCATAACCATACTTTCGTTAAATCAATGTCACTGTAGCTCTCCTGTCCTATTGGGTCTTCATCTTCTCTGTCGTCAAGTTAACTCACTGTCGTGCAAAATTATGCATCACTTCACACTGTGCTAGAAGATCTTGAATGCATTCCTCAGGCATATCAGGAAGGTGGCCAAACAATGGATCATAAGGTAAACAAAGGCCACGAGAAGTGGATCTGAGATAGGGAATAGCTGATAGTCTCGTGGATAGCACTGTGATAGGCAAGTAAGAGCAGAGGTAAGTTATGGTTCCAGTCCTGTTGGTTTCAGGAAACCTTCAGCGAAAGGTTATTAAGAGTGGTTCGAATAAACCTCCCTACCATACCGTCTGACTGGGGATGTAAAGATATCATTTGCGTTTTGTCGGCAATGAGTATCTTGCAGATTCTTTAATGACAGCCAAGATAAATTTCTTCCTTTATCGGAATGTAACTAAAGAGGAACTCCAAACCTGGAAACCGAATTCTGTATCATTACCTTTGCTACTGTGAAAGTCTCTTGATCAGGGATAGAATACACTTCAGGCTACTTTGCGCAGTAATGAATGACAAGAATGTATTTGTTGTCAAGGGCAGTTTGTAGCAGAGTTCCCAGGATATCAAAGAGGATGCGTTCAAAAGACTCTCCTACGTTACAGCTTTCATTGGCTGCATTTCTTCGGTGCTTTCCGACCCACACAAGCATTGCAAGATTGGCACCAGTTTTGCACGTCAGCCCTTGCATTACTCCAGTATTAGCACTCTCAAACACTATGTAAAGTCTTCATTATTCTGAAGTGGCCAACAGTCAGACCGCTATGTAGTTCTTTAAGGGCATCTGGGATCTTGAAAGTATCAGCTGCCATCAGAATTCCTTTCCACCATCCGACTTGAACTTTCGGTACAAGATACCGTTTTGAATACTGAGTCTCAGAGAGCCTAGTATTGTTTTGTCATAGAACTATAGATCGAAATGCCTTGCCAGATAGTTTTCCTATTTGTAGATTCCTTTAAGTCAACTATGGGTTTAATATTGCCGTCTTCCAATTGGTCTTTCATGACCTCTTCGTTACTCCATGGGTCTTGGTCAGACGATGCTGAAGTTGTAGACGTACGACCGGATTAAACAGCTCATATTTCACCTTAAATCTAGAACAATATCAACAGCTTTCTGAGGTGGTCTTCTAGGGAGGGCCTCGGCGTTTCCATGCAATAATTCCTTCCTAAGACAGATAGATGGGTCATATTCCTGGAGTCTCTATATGCATCTGGCTATTTGGCCTTTGCAATTCTTATAATTTAATAGCCTGTTAAATGATGCATGATCAGTACGCAGCACGAATTTTCTGCCATGGAGATAATGATGAAAATGTTCTACAACTTTAAATATTGTGAGTAACTCTTTTCTGGTGACACAGTAATTTCTCTCCGGTTTAAATAGACACTTGCTCCCAGCATGTTCTTAACCATTTATTTCTTGGGACAAAACAGCACCGACACTCATTGCTCGCATTTACATCAAGAATAAATGGTTTGTCGAGCTCAGGATACGTGAAGATTGTTGCAAATGTTAAAGCTTCTTTCAGTTTGCTAAATGCATCCTCACATTCTTTTGCTCACAAGAATTTTTGCTTGCTCTCTGTCAGCTTGTGAAGGGGTCTTGCGGTGAAACAGAAACGCTTCATAAATTTTCTATAGCATAGCCCCAGGAAACTTTTCAGCTGATGGACACTTTTTGGGGTATCTTCAGTCTTTAACAGACACTTATTCTGGATCCATAGACACACTGGCGGCAGAAATGACATGTCGGAGGTAAGTCATTTCCTGTCTGAAAAATTTACATTTGGCGAGACTCAACTTTAGGCTTTCAGTTTCTGAAGTGCTTTCCGAGATTTCTAAATGCTCTTCAAAAATTTTCCGAACGATAATGATATTATCAAGGTATATCAGACAGGGTTCGTAAGAAAGACGTCTCAGCACAGTTTCCATAAGGCATTTGAGCTTTGCCAACACATTACATAATCCTTTTAGAGCATCCAATTTAACTTTCATTGTTATGCTGCTTTCTTCTTGTCTGACATTTTCACCTGCACATATAGGTACGGGTAGGGGCTAGGCCAGTAGCTGCAGAACCATAGATGATTGAGGCACCTAGCTAACTGTTAAGCTTTTGCCCAGTTTTGAGGGAGATTACACACTATTATGAAAGCTTCTGACCTAAGGTATTCCCAAGCAGTATATTTGCTTTCTCAACAGAAAAACCATCGGCAACCACCAAAAAATTTTTGTAGCATACACAGATGCTACAAATACATAAATCTCATTGATTTTGATTATGCAGACATACAACTCTGCACTTATGTACTGCAGTTTGAACTAGAAATACAATTTTGCACTTACGTATTATAGTTTGAACTAAGTTTTAGTTTTAAGTCTAAGTTTTGAGCACATGTACTTATTTTGTTACAATAATTAATTCTTGACCAAATAAGTTAGAATGTCACTACCAGTATAGTATACACAAGTTGTCGAATATGAATAAGCCATAAAGACAAACAGCATTTGTATTATGCATCTCAGATATGAAACAGCTATCCATTCTGTAAAATTGCAACACTTTAGTCTCACCATAAAAGTTAATTCCCGACTTCCATAACATGTTCAGAGGAAGTGTAAAGAAACCTACATAACATCCATTATGATATTAGAGTGCCTATTGTTTAAACCAAAGTTATCCTAGTATTAACAGTTAATAAAATAAGGTTGTATTCTTACATATGTTCCCATATATAACAATATATGAGTACACATACATTTTCTTCATTATATGAAAAAACACCTAGGGTGTGGCCTATCACCTGTCTTCTTATACCACCAACTTCTCGAAAGGTCTTTTGGCTCATTATGTATTTTGAGTGCCTCATGCTGCACAACACTATACACTTACATTCATGCCTCCTCTGGGATTCGAACCTGGACCTCTCAGTATACTAGTTAGCTTCACTAACTACTACAGCGTTTAGGCAGTCACTTTCACATACAGCACTTGTAAACTTGAATATTAAACTGAGAATCTCCACCCAGAATGAACTAAAAATTTAACTTATAACAGTACACAGCCATAAATTTGCCAACAGCTGAAAGGAGCAATTAGAGTGGCAATCAACAGCAGTTACCCGACTTTCTTTAGCCGTTTTATTACTGAGCGGAGGAATGGGTAGATTAAAATTTCTATAAGAACAACACAAGATAATTTTTCATGTGTTTTATAAATTAAACAGCAAAATGAAAGAAAATGTTGATAAACACCAAAACTTAAGTAAAAAAAGTTTTTTCTATAGTCATAAATTAAAACTAAATACTTATTAAAAGACTGACCCTGAATATATGAAAATAATCCCTGGAGGGAATCCCCCCCCACACTTCATTTTTGTGCTTCTTAAAAAGGCTTTCATTAATTTCTATTATTTTGTTAGACTTTCTGATTTTACACTTGAAGCTCTGTTTAGAACATAGGTTCTCAACTGGGGAGAATTTCACAGTTTCAGGGAGGGGGGGGGACGTGGTCAGCCTTTTGTTTACCGTTTAAGTATTTAGTTTTAATTTATGAATATAAAAAACCCTTTTATTCAAGTTTTTTAGCATTTATAAACATTTTCTTGCTTCATTTATAAAATACATTAAAAAATAATATAAATTTAAATAAATGAATATGTATTTTGGAAAGGAGAGGCGGGATGATCGTCTCACAAGTGAATGGGTACACTGGGTAAAAAAGTTGAGAATAATCATCTACTGCTTGTTGCAAACTGTAGGTCCTCAATTTTAATCTTTTTTTTAAATATATTTTCAAAATGCAAGACGGAAAAATGCAGCAATAATAGTTAATGTTCAAAAAACACAAGGCACTGTTATTGCTTGAATGTGATTATTAAAATGAGTTGAAATAAGACAAATTACATTTTTAAGCATTTTATTAGCAATTATATAAAAACAAATTGGAACACAGCAACTGTAAAATGGCTGAGAATAATACTCATTAAGGTTTCATCTACAAAGTTACATATTTAAATACAGACTTACACATGTAATATTTAAATAAAAAACAAAATCAACATTAACTTATTGCAAAACATCTTGCTATAAATAAAATAATCTATTTTTACCAATTACAATTTGAATATTTAATCATTATTCACTTATGAGGCTAGAGGCACCTAAGAATTCCCATTTCAAATCTCTAAATCACACTGAAAGAGTTTATTTACATAATTATCTAAACTTAACACACAAATTATAGAATAAATCTTTTAGTTGAACATAAGTTGAATGCAAAATGTAAACGCATACAGAATTAAACAATAACATATTTTATGAAATAGTGTTGGCAATATATGTGAAAATTATTTTTCGCTAACACACTTCGTAATATATTTTAAATATTACGATAGCAACTCATATTTTGTATTTGATATGAGTTAATCCTCAGTTACTTTACCAAAATATATAAGAAAATATCTGCATAACTTAAATGTTTTATCATTAAGAAATTTTTAAATCTTAATAAATATTAATTCTAAACTTTTAAATTCCTTAAATAATTTTAAAAAGTTTTTTTGGAAGGGCTCAGAAATCAAATTAATAGATGTTAAAATTTCTGAAATAACAGTATGGAAACAAGCTGCCAATAACTAAGGAAATATATATCCTTTTCACTACATACAATAAGAACACGTTTTACGGACTATGTCCAAAAGATGTGTGTTTAATACTAAAAAATAATTGGTCTGAGTTAAAATAACACACCAAATTACAATTATTGGTGGTGCTAAAGCAACAAGAATCTGCAAAATATTCATAAATTTGTTGGTCAGAATATCACATTTTCCATTTTACTGCAGCCAACATTATTTGAAAAAAAATCTTTCATAAAATTAAGATTTCCTGGAGGTGTTTTACATTCATAAAAATCTTTCAATTCCAGTAACAATACCAGTTCCAATTAATTTTCACCCTCAAATTTTAAGGAAATTATTTATATATTTTAGGGAACTGTTTACAATTGTTCACCGGTAGATGGCACTAGTAGCTTGCCTCTAATTATCACCACCTGAGCACACAAGACATCTGTTTCATCATTTGCACTTCTGCAGCTGAAGAGGTATGTTCTACTCTTAAACCTTCAAAACAAGTTCTGCAAATTTATAAATGTTACACTGTTTCTTGTTGTCTTAGCACACAAATTATAAAATAAATCTTTTAGTTGAACATAAGTTGAATGCAAAATGTAAACAGCATACAGAATTAAACAATAACATATTTTATGAAGTAGTGTAGGCAATATATGTGAAAATTATTTTTTTGCTAACACACTTCATAACACCTCCAATAATGATTAGTTTATTTCCATTATCTAATTTTAAGTTTTAATTATTAAATGCAATCCTTATATATTTTCAATTACTTAACTCCTCCATCATAATAAATGTATGCTTCAAAAAAATACAAAAGGAATATTATAAATTAATGCTTCAAAACATTAATACAAATTTATTAAACATTTAAAGTAATCACATGTGAAAAATATCAAAATACACTAAAATTGCTGAAAATATTTAGAAAATGTCTAATAGTCTGATAATTGCAGCTTTTAAATATGTTTACCAAATTGGCACAAATGTCTCTTACACAGAGCAATAATTAAAAAATGCTGCATAGAAATTTATAATGATAATTATTTTACACATGTATAAAGCATGCACATATATTGTTTTGAACACCACTGTTAGTATCTACTACTTTAAAAATTCATTTGATTTCATTTATTAGGTGGATTTGAAAAGGAACGTAAAGTCTTTTACGTATCATTAAAACAAAGCACTTTTATTTTGTACAGTTTGCAGCAGTCTGATATGAATTTTAAAAAAGAAAAAAGATCACACTTTCCAGATAAATAAAAACATAAGTAAACAACTATATTTCTCAAAGGGGGGAAAAGTCTTTTGTATGAAGTATGGAATATTATACAAAATAAAGTCAATACAAAAGGTACTGTAGTGATGATGATCCTAATGAAGCTGCTTAAACACACAATTAGCTTGGATTCCTAACCCCATAAGTCTTCAGAACGTCCAAACTTAAAAACTAGAGCTCTATAAAAAAACAATGATAGTAAAAATATTAGAATTATAAAAAGAAGCTTAATATATTTGATTAAACATGTAAAAGGCATTTCTTCAAATTTTAAGTGTTCTACTGGATCGATTGTCGAAATTTAACTTGCGTTTTCTATGTCTCGAAAGCGCGACTTAGAATATATATTAGATTTATACATAGCATTATTCCAACATGGGTATTTTGACACAAAATCTGATTTTTTCTGAAATAACATACAAATTTTTTCGATATACCACTTACTGTGCTGTGAATGCCTATTATTTAAAGAAACATCAGTGAACTCACAGCCTGCAACAATATGAACACCTACCTGCAAATTGAACTTGATATGATCTTATGTGCAAAATGACAAAATTAATATCAATTCACCACTGACCAGCATCATCTCAATTATATCTCATTCCAATTCACATGTCAGTGGTTGCACACACACACACACACACACAAAAGCATATATTTTTCTCAATGTTCAATGAAACTGGCAATTTTATGCCTCCTGTGTTACCTGAAATTAATCCAGTAACTTGTGTTTTCATATTTTATATTTATTTCAGATTTAATAAAGCAATCATTCTTCATTATACATAGTTAAATTTCACCCTAATGGCCCTAGTATGGCCCTAAGTGGCAGATAATTGTGTACAAGAAAAGCGAAAACAGATAACTGTATACACGAGGGAAATAGGAGTAATTCTCATTTAATAACTAAAATCTATATTTAAAATTCAAATTAAAAGTATGTTTTCCTTTCATATATGGATAAAAAACAACAATTTGCACACAATAACTTTTACTTTTTCATCTATAAAAATTTGTCAGATTGTGCCAAGGGATTGCATTAATACACAAGTAGTGAAATTTTAAATATTCTTAAAAAATTAATGATTATATCAGTTATACAGATTTGGAAAAAAAAAAAAAAAAAAAAGAGGCAACATATCTGCCAAATATGGGAAATATGTGCAATGTCATTCAATCAAAAAGGATGTTGGCATATCAAACTGTCCTTTACAATAGCACATTGAAGAATACGAGCCAGGAAAAAAGGACACTCAAGTGGCAGTACTTTTGGTTTTATTAAGTCTGTGTACCAAATTTATGTATCCCCCCCCAAAAAAAAAGAAATAGAGAAAACTTATTGGCAATGTTTTAACTTCATTAAGGCACTAATGTCAGCCATTATCAAAATACTGAGGAATTTTGCCACTTTTAAGTAATAAAAATCACTTTAAACGATATCACACTTATTTTAATCCATAAAAATAACCAGTGAATTTAATAGATACTTTTATAAATAAATTTAATTACATATAAAAGACCAGTAACATATTCCTCGTCTTCTTAACTCTTTTTAAAATATAAAATATTTCTCAAATTACTCTCTCTTTGCTTTCATGAGCAAATAAAAAATAAAGAGATCCCATTTTGTTCTGTACCCTTTCATATTCTAATAAAAGTGTAAATAAGCTTATCAAATAACGTTACGTATATCTTCACAGAGTTTAGCCACATCTAAAAAATGTTTTGAATGCTCTGTATGCCATTATAATTAATGAAAGTTATATAAAGACTTGGGAAAACATAATAATCTCAATTTATAAGTTTAGATATTTTTCAGGTCTTACCCAAGGAAAATAAAAATATTCTGAAGAAAGACAGCTACTCCAGGTCCTTGGGGAACTTTCACTAGAAATGAAATAAACTTAATATAAATTACAAAAACATTACATCTCATTGTTACGAAATCATATCACAAAGCAAAAATTTCATAATAATCTTAAAGTATGGCAATTTTATTTCATCTTCCAATTAGCCCAGAATGATGCACCATACATGCGCATAATGAAAATTTTGCTTTATAAAAACAACACTAAAATACAAAGAAATAATAATATGCAGCAATGCTATCTGAAATCATACTGCAGATATACTGAATTTACTGTAACCAGGCAAACCTCATATTTGAAAGAGGGTTAATATCTTCAGAGGAAAAAAAAAAAAAAAAAAAAATCTGAAAGGTTTCAGATTTTAAATTACATCCAAATGGGCGTTTTTTTAACATTTTGTCTGTTACCTTTATTTATAAAATATCATGTTCTTCGCACTTAAACCATAAAATTCAGTTCAAGAGCAATATCGTAAAATAGTTTTAAATTGAGCATATCTTCAGAATTTCCAATACAGAATGCGAGATAATTAATAATTGCGTGCAAGATAAAAAGGTTTTTTTCTGTACGTTGCCATCAATTAACTTCCACGTCCAACCAAAAAACCTTGAAGCCCACAAGATCTAGGTACTTGAACCTCCATACACGAAGCAGGAATATGCCGTCACTTGAAAATTCTGTCACATTCCTTTACGGTAGTGTTTCCCGAACTTTTCTCATCGTGTAATGCTTTTTAAGGTCTAAAATTTTTAAGGAATACTGGAGTAAATCTAGGTTTTCAATTATAATAAATGAAAACACATATATATAATATAAACAAATATAATAAACACACTTTTATTTGAATTGCTACCTCATACATGTAAAAGAAATGTTTTTAAAGTTACAAAAAATGACAAATAAAACTAATTAAATGAAAGAAACAACATACACAAAAAAGTTAAAACATGTTTAGTTTCAACCACATCAATATCTTTGATTTAAAGGCATTTTTCAGGAAGTGATCACAAAATAACAAGTGAAATTAAACTTTGTATCTCCATCATAGTAGAAAAATGCAATATTAATTTTTTAAACTGGGAGAAAAATTTTCACTCCTGCAGCTGCAGAAGAAAGCTCTACATTCAAACCTTCTAAACTAGGCCTGCGAATTTATGATAATTACCACCAATTCTTCTTTTTGCCTTAACATCTCCAATTGTTAAATGGTGTGTTCTTTTTGCTTTAAAATACGAAAGTGACATTAGAACACTTCTTTACTTCTGAGCACACAAGAGAAACCCTACCAAGAATGTATTCTGCATGTATTTCATTAGCAGTGTAAGTTATATGGTGTCATGCTACATTATTAAATTTATTCCCATTTTGTCTGATCCCTCTTTAAATTTCTTTTAAGAGTTATATAAATTGTGATAAATACATTAAAGCAGATTTTTGTTGTTCTCTAACCTCAGTTTCATAATTTTTCGCAGAATACCAGTGTTCAGTCGAACAAGTTTGGGAAATATTGCTCTACAGCGGCAAATTGGAAATACAAAAATCATGAAACCAAAAGACCTAGAAATTTGATACTTTGCAGGTAATTAAAGATTCATTTGGGTATTGCATGTTCTGTGATAATATTGCTTTGAATTTTGCATATATATAAAGAAATATATATGTAAACGTATTCCACATTATGTCATCTTGAAACTTCTGCATTGCCAATCATATCAGCCAATCAGATTAACGAAAAATTTTACTATAAATATTGTTGCAATCCTACCCGTCCCTTTTTCTCTGCTTGCGCTTGCTGGCTGAAGGACGTCTTTTGCTTTGCTGCTTTTGTTTAAAATGTCATGCGCCATCATCAAAATTGTGGGGTGCAGATTAGCCCCTATTGTGAAGTACCACAAGTAATAAAGGTATATTTGGAATATCAAGTGATTTTTGCGACTCTTAAAAAGTCTCGACTGCTAAATTATGACAAATTAAAGATTCAACAGGATGAATCCTTGCTGCTAACTCCAATAGATAAAGTACCTAGGGTAGGGGAACAGCGAAATGTGTTGATTCCGGAATTAGGCGTAATGATCTTCTCGTGATTAAAAGGTGTGCCGTCGAAAAATATTTCCATCAGCAAAATCATTGTGCCTCAAGTATAAATATTTAAAGTGAAAAGAAATCCATTCTTAAAAATTAATATAGATTAATGAAAGTGAATTAATGTGTATGAAGGTTCCAAGTATATTTCAACAACACAATCTAATGATTATCCGGGTGATTGTTCTTTATGTGAAATTACTACAGCTATTTCTGTGTTATTACTACCAATATTTCATCGTGTAATTTATGCGTCAGCAATTTCCTTTATTAAATGTTAGTACAAAAGTGCTTTTCTCCTCTAAGCTGAACTGAAAAAAGGGAATGATTTTTCTTGAACGATTTATTCATCAACTTCTGATTTATATTGAAAATTTGAATACATATTGCTGTTTCTTCTCATATTGGATTAAAAGTGATTTGGTGCGTCTTATTAATGATACAGTATATCAACGTTCCAAATTATTTCAGCATTGCAGCAATTCTAAGGTTGTTACTCTGCTTATGCTACATGCTTCAAGTGTGTACATGTGAGCATTTTTTTTTTTTTTTTTGCTTTCTTAATCCCACAGTTTGTAAAACAAAAACCAAAAATTATTATCTTAGAATAAGGTTCATTTGCAATGGAACAAAACTCAAATAGTACTATAGATTCTAAAATTTCACACAAGATCTTTTATGGATAAAGTATATTAATGTAGCTAGAAATTTGAACATTATAATCATATATAAATTGCTAATCAATGTTATTATATTAAATATCTAGATATGCTGTTTTTCATATTATATAGAATTTTTTAAATTTTGCATCCTTTTATAAAGAGTAGAATTTTATGGTATCAAAAATTTGATTTTCATAATTATATTTAATAACAGATTTAAAAGATTAGTAATGACTTCTTTTATGGAAGGTTATTAACATGCTTAATATTATTTTTGCATTATTGTTTAAATACTTTTTAATTAATACAGTCAAAAGTCTTTAATCCAGATGTCCATAATCCGGACCTCAAAGCTACAAACTTTCTGTGCATGCGTCAACGCATATTGCATTAACGCATGCGCATATGCATCTACGTATGCGCGTTTAATGTATAACAAATGGTATAAACTAAGCTAAAATTATCTAATTAGCTCAGTTAATGCTGCAGATTGCATTGTTCATTAATCTTCTAATTGGATCCGGCTTATTATTTTTTTGTAGACTGTTCGAGGAATTTTATAAAAGTAAGCTTGAACTTTCGATTATGTCAAAAAGAATTTCTGATTCTGGAGCTACCAAAGGATCTACACAGCGAAAGCATGTTTCGATGTCCATCAAACAAAAAGTGGAATTGCTGCAAAAAATGGATAAAGGCATATCCATTGAATCTCTAATCATTCCTAAATATGTTTATCAATTTCACGCTGCTCTGCCGGGGGGGGGACGTCACGGCTCAACGAGTCCGGATTAAAGACTTTTGACTGTATATATATTTGGCATATTACTATAGTTCTCTCTGTATATATGCAATTACAAAACAAATTTTTTAAAAACAAAATATAATTATGTCTAGTACTTTCGTGCATTAAGCTGCTAAAAAATTATCAGTAAAGACAAAGTAAGAAATTTAGAACCAATTTTTCTCATTTTTCACAAATGAAAAATTTAAATTCATAAGTAATAAATTTCAAATAATGCTGTAAATGCAATAAAGAATTTAATAAATGTTAAAACTAAAACTCTTCAAATAAGTAATACTCCAATTCAAAAAATCAATGAAATTTAAAGAAAAAAGTACATACGTAGCGTATTCGGAAATTAAGGACTGTTTCATTCTAGCGCCGTCGCAGCGCTGTGGTAGGCGTCCCGTGCATGCGCACTAGTCTTTCTTGTTCACTGACTTTCAATTGTCGCCATTTTGGTTGCTCTATGTTGTGTTTTCAGTTTGCTGTGCACATTCAAAATGTTTAAGACAATTAGTTCTCCCGCTGACTGTGAGATTCGTGCCGTGATTAAATTTTTGAACGCGAGGAATGTTAAACCGGCCGAAATTTATCGTCAAGTGACAGAAGTTTACGGTGAATACGCGATAAGTGATGGAATGGTGAGAAAGTGGGTAAGAATGCTTAATGCAGGTCGAACAAATGTCCACACCGAGGCTTGGAGTGGTCGGCCTTCTGTTGTCACCGATGATTTGGTAAGGAACATTGATGAAGCAATTCATGAGAACAAACGCTTCACAATGAGAACTTTTTCAGAGGCATTTCCAGAAATCCAACTATCACTTGTTCCTGCACATGAAGCGCGATCTTGGTGGCAAGCGCTTTGGATCTAACGATGACACGTAAAATGCTGTGGAGTTGTGGTTATCGAAACTGGCGGGAAGTTTCTTTGACGATGGTATACAAAAACTGGTCACCCGCTATGACAAGTGTTTGATCACTGGCGGAAACTATATTGAAGACATGTATTTTCATGTAAAAATAAAATTGGATTCGAAAAAATTGTTTTACTATTTTTTTTTTTTTTTTTCAAAACTGTACTTAGTTTTTGAATACACCTCGTAATAGAAGAGGAATTCAGTCAACCTCAGTGCCACTTTGTCAGGAAGAGGATGAAATCAACTGAAATCTCTCTTCTACACAAATCCTTGTTTTTCTGTATCCAGAATTAGCTGATGAACCATTTCAATATATTTTAATTATAACAGTCCCCTCAAAAATTCAGGCTCCTCCCCAAAGCAAGGAAACAAACTAATGTAAATTAAGATTTTGTACCTTAAATAAAGAGAATTCCATTCAAAGAATTGAAAACTTAAGTGAATTAATAAAATACTTTAGTGAAAAATTCAAATCAAAACTTTACCTTCAAATAAAGAGCATACAATCCAAAGAATTTAAAATGTAAGTGAAATTATAAAACTTTAGTGAATAAACTTAAATAAAAACTCACAAGAAGTAATTATATTACACAAAAAGTACAAATTCCAAGATCCATTACATTTAATACCCTGAACCTACAGCCCAGCAGACAATAAATAAAAAACTAAAATAAAATTCTTCTATTAAAAAAAGATAAGGAATAGAGAATACAGTCAAAAGTCGTTAATCCAGACTCGTTGGGACTTCGGCGATTCCGGATTATCGATTTTTTCGGATTATAGATCACCAGTTTAAATCTCGTAAGATGGCATGCAGAAATTCTAAAATTAAAAATATGAAACCGTAATTTATGAAATAAAGAACAATTATGATCTAAAGGGTATCAATATTTACAAAAAAAAAAAAAAAAAAAAAAAAAAAAAAAAAAAAGCTTAATATTTATTTGTTTACTTTATTAAACATTTCTTTCAATGGAAGTTGTTTAAGTTGCTTCATTTTATGTGATAATACTTTCTCTTTAATTCTATAAACAGACATAATTTCTTGTTCAGTTACAAAGTTCCGCTGTTCAAGTCCCGTAATTGCTGTGCCGAGAATACTGACTAACTTGTCAATCGAAATTTTTTCGTTTTCACTAACCTCTCTGCCACCTTCTTCATGTCTTTATCCATTTTTTGCAGCAATTCCACGTTTTGTTTCATGGACATCGAAACATATTTTCGTTTTGTAGATCCTTTGGGAGTTCCAGAATAGGAAATTCTATTTGACATAATCGAAATTTCAAGTTTACTTTTATAAAATTGCTCTTACAGTCTGCAAAAAATATCAGCCCGATCCAATTCGAAGATTAAGGAACAACGCAATCATCAACATTAACTGAAATAGATAATTAGATAATTTTAGCTTATACCGTCCGTTATACATTAAACACGCACGCGAAAAAGTATTCTGCGCTTGCGCACAGCCATATGCGCAGTCGTAAAGGTCTTACGTGCACGCGCAAACGCCTATGCGCATGTGTAAACGCGGCGCATGCGCAGAAAGTTTTTAGCTTTGAGGTCCGGATTATAGATCATTCCGGATTATGGGTGTCCGAATTAACGACTTTTGACTGTTTAATACAAAGAAGCTGTAAGTGTGATTTTTTTCCCCCTGGAGTAACCAAGATTCCTGTATGTTACTTTCAAACAAGCTGCTGGCTAGGGAGTCGCACCGTGACCGATAATAATGCACTGAGTGATAATAGTATGGCCAGTAATAATTCATCAATAGTCGTATTGATGTTGACCAGGATTACACTTTCGGCTCTTAAGTGGTTGTGGGGAGGTGTGGAAGGCAGGGTAATTTGCATCGAATAGCGTCTCTGCGTATCCTAAATTCAGCTACCTGATATCTCCTTAAATTTCAAACATTTTGTCATTGCTAAATTCTACTGCCTCTCCTAAATTTTAAAAATTCTGCCATTCTAAATTTTTATTACTTTCTGCTGCTCTAATTCTAAAAATCTTTGCAACTCCTATATTTTTACACTTGTTGTGGCTGCACCAGTCACATCTGCCCTGTGTGGGTTATTATATTTCTGTCTGATTTAAACAAGATGTGAAGCTTCAATTTTACCATGTCTATAAGTCTAAATTTAAACCAATGATGTGAAAATCTGGAATCACCAAAGTATCGAAATTCCGGATCTCGGACTTTGTATTTTTATAACTAACTGTGACCTCAAAAAATGGAATTAATGTAAAACAACATGAATTTCTTTATAAAACAAACTGCAAAGACATTGTTCTTTCATTAATAGCTACTACTCAGCAATATATGACTAAAAGATTTTTTTTGTGCTATTTAAATATATATATATATATATATATATATTAAAAAAATATCTGAAAGGTTTTGGATTTTAAATTATGTCCAAAGGGACTCTTTTTTTTTTTTTTTAAACGTTTTGTGTGTTACCTTTATTTACTAAATATCTTGTTCTTCGCACTTAAACCATAAAATTCAGTTTAAAAGCAATATCGCAAAATAGTTTTAAACTGAGCATATCTTTAGATTTTCCAATACAGAGTCTCGCACGCTGGAGATAAAAGGTTTTTTCTGTACAATGTTGCCATTACCTGCTTTGAAATCCTTGAGTTTTTTAATCAAAAATTCATTAAAGTTTTACAAATTATGAAATCAATAATAAAACAAATTCCAAATTTCAAAGTTGGGCTTCCAGATGGCCATATTTGCAGTAGGATTATGTCATTCAAATTTTGATGGCTCTAGGTACTGTTGTTTTATAACAGTGCGAGAAACATACATACATTTATGCAGATTCTTCATTATTTAATTTCTTCAAATATAATACAGGGTGATAATATTTGGTGGCAACAGTTTGAAAAGTTATACAGTCTTTTCAACGCAAAATAAAAACAATAGTCCCTCAGGGACAAAACCCTTTTGGACTATAAATAAATAAATAATAAAACAAAATAAAAGCAAACTCACTTGGAATTACATATATTCCAAACAGGATCCAGCAGGATGCTATGAGTGAACCAAAACCAAGAACAAATCCCAGAAATAGCCAAACACGAGCTCCTACATAAAGTATACTTTAGTTTAAGAAAAAACAATCAAAAGACATCATTTAACTATACAGAATTACAAATAGATAAATGTAAAAGAAATTGAAAGCATTTCTTTTGTATCTCTTCTGCTTTGTGGAATATTTTCAGAGTTACAGGTCTGGCAGGCATGCTCAAAATGTTGAAGAATTCTGGGTTTAGCAAAATGTTACATTAAAAAATGCCGTGCAGCTGCATGGTACTGCTTAAATTCCTATTTAAAGGAATTGATCTACATCCAATTTAAAAAAGATTATGACTATTTTGTTGCTATTTTAAATACTATTTGGGATGTCTGAACGTTGCAATGACTGGCACAAATTTAAATGATTGTTTGTTACAAATGCTCAAAGCTCAGCAGAGATGTCACTGCGAATCAGCATATTATTCTGACTTAATAAATCGACAGGCATTGCTTACAATCTTACAAGTCATGTGGCATCACGAGTCTTACTTAATATGAGTCATGTTGCATCGAATGCATTTGAAAACCGAAATCTTGTCTTCTGCCCCAAATAATATTTAATATTCCATGCTGGTTGTTCAACTTTGTCTTTAAATTTCTTTCTTTTTTATTAATTTATTTTTTATTGGATTCAATAACTAAATTTTTCATGACATGAATTTTCCTAGGTTTAAATTTGTTTTTTTTGGGGGGGGGTTTCAATATCAGAATGATTGTATACTGTCTGCCTAGTGCCTCCATGAGAAAGGTATCAATTTAAATATTAATCTTAATTATACAATAATCTATGTAATAAATGGTATTTAATAACATACCTCTCTGTCCTAAACATCCTGTTGTGTAAGCATCTCCTCTTACTTGACCATTAGATACAGCATTAATCCTAAAATAAGAAACTAAGTAAGTTAATATAAAAATACTTAATCCGTATCTTTTTTTTAAAACTCCCAATAAAAAATATAGTAAAAACTCTCATTTAAATCGGTGATCTCAAACTGGCAGCATTTTGATCGAGGGTCAAACATATTCCAGCATATAAGCAGGAAGAATTATTACTTAATTTCCGACGAATGTGGTTACAGTAAGAACATAACAAATGAAAAGTAGTTATGGATAAAATACTGGTAAATACCACAATATTCTTTCTTTCAAAAAAAAAAAAAAAAAAAAAAAAAAAAAAAAAACTTCCATTCCAATACGAATACACAGTAATATTAACATTACAGTATCTGAAGGACACTGAGCTGATATCTGACAATAACTAAACCAGGCACACTGCCCAGAGAATGATGTGTCTAGTTCCCAGAGAGTGAGTGTCCTTGTAAAGGCCCAGGGGCACCTCACATAAATGTGCTTTGACTGCAGTTCTCAAAAGGGACATCGAAAGAAGGAAGCAGAAAGAGGATGAAAAAAATATCTGGATTTCAAAAGATCAAATGTATCAATAGTAGCTACAGCTACAATGAGCTGCAACATAAATAACAGAAGTAAAATGAAATCACATGTTTGGAAAGTTTCTTAAGTGTGAGAGCACCTGCTATGTCTGGGTAGCTCAACAAAGAATCTGTATAGAATATGTTTTAAATGCACAGGAAAATAAAATGGATGAAATGCAAATGTCAATTGAATACACTGAATAAAAATAATCAAGAGACTATAATTTCCCAACAACATAGCTTGCAGAGGAAAAATCTATACCCAACAGAGGAAGGAGAAAATTATACGAATATTTTAAAAATTTTCAGAAGCTAGTGCAGAAAAGTTAGGTGGAAAAATATGTGAAGAAATATGGTAAATGTACTGGATTAATAACATAAAAAAATTAAGATTAAATTTCAGTATGTTAAAAAGGAACTAAAACTAAATACAGTGACTTACATGAAGAATGACAATGTACCAATAACTCCACATACATGGTATGCATGATTAAAGTCATTCATGTCAGGATAACGAGCTGCAACATAGAAAATTATCCACCATCCTGTAAAAAACTGAGGGAAAAAAGTTATATATATATATCATTAAAATTAAAGGATAATGACAGAAATAAAACATAACTGAAAATTATGAAAAATTAATAGAAATTTGTACAAAAGCATCAGTTAACATAAATTACAATGTTTGGCAATATGCAAAATATTGAAATTAAAACCAGATTTACGGTACTTGGGGAATGATGGAAAATTTAAGTCATCTATTGTGGAAAAAAAATTTTTAAGGTGTATGGTCACAATGGGCAGTCATGCATACCTCACATCATATTGTGACTTCATACACTTTACCAAAAGGTTGATCAACTCTTTGTGGAATTGCAGTAAAAGTGCACTTTTTAGCTCCTACAGGGTCTGGGGAGAAATTTGATGTGCTGAAATTCAGCATCCGAATGCATTCCACACATTCAATCGAATTCAAGTTGGAGGAGCAAGGTGCCCAATCCATTTGAATCACATCTTCAATTTACAAGTATTCTGACACATATGCTCACGAGGCCGAGGATTGTCATCCATTAGCAAAAACTCTGGGTCAACAGCACCCTTAAACAGTCTAACATGGGATTCCCATACCTCATCCACAAATCTCCAAGCAGTTACAGAATCGCCTTGAAAGATATGCAGTTCGGTATGGCCATTTGTGATGATTCCTCCCCAAAGCGTTAAACTGCGGTTACAGAAACTGGATATTTCACAGATAAGGTAAGTTGTGTGTTCATTCCTCTCTCCAGATCAAAACATATCTAGAATCATTGCTCAAACTATATCTGGACTCGTCAGTAAATAATACTTGGGCACAGTCGTCTTAGCTCCATTGAGCATGACAATGTCACCAATTTAAACATGTCTCTCCGGAAGCTGGAGTGAGTGGACATAAACCACTGATTTTCTTGCTTACAGTCCAACCTCGGACTCGTTAAGCCTTTGTGCAGCAGCAGAATGGCTATTTCGAGTTCTTGCTACAGCCTGAAGGTTAAAACCAAATCCCTTGTATTCATTTCAAGGTTTCTTCGAGCCGAAAATGAGAGAAAACAGTCTTCTGATCTAGTTGTTGTTCTTGGTTGCTCTTGACCAGGCTGTCTATTAAGTGATCCAATACTTGATTTGATACTTTGAGGAATATTCAAATCTTGGGCTAAGTCCATTTGTTTTATCAATTATTTGCCACTTTTGACCTTCACATAAATGATGACTTTGATCTATATCTACTGAATATTGATCACTCTCAGAAACCACATTCACTTCAAACAGTACTACAGATTGGAATTCCAACATGCGTCTAATGCATATACATCGTCAATTACGGAATTTGCATAATTCCGACACTAACATATGCACGGAAGTGCAATTTTGAGTGCACTTGTATTTAATTAACACAAATACTTACAGCATTGGTTATTGATTGCAACATTAACTTTGTAAGCATACTGTTGTGTGTGTATAGATCCAAACTAGATTAAATGCACAAGTTTTTAATTGAAGCCTGCTGTAGTCTTTTAAGCATTTCTTCCCAAAGTGCAGCTCCAACGCATCAGATAAAGCTTCAAAATCTAGCCTCTAGTTTTTGAGAAGAGTCTCAAGGATATCTGCTGTGTCTGCTTTCAGAGAAGCAGCAAGATGACAGGCCTTAGCTTGGGAATCCTGTCCTTTCACTTCCGCCACTATAGAAAATTGTGTCTTGTATACTTGCCAGGAGGTCTTCCCATCATACGTGGATTAGCTTGAGAGAGGGACAAGGAGGCATGGGAAAATAGTTTAAATCCATCAGAATTGCTCTCTGGCAACACTACGAAATTTCTCTAAAGTATCAACTTCTTTCGCAACTGCAGAAACCCTGTCATCAATTTGTTGTTCGTTTCGTTATTGGATGGCAGAGACTCTTACTTCTGTTGGTTTTTTTCACAGAAGAAACTCTTTCTTCAATGTGTCCAATTCTGTTTTCAAAAGCATCTATTCCGTCTTTCACAGCCTTAAATTTGTTTTCTATTACACAGGTAATTTCTCTTTCCATTTCCTCTTAACCTGCTTTCATTTCCTCTTTAATAGCTTTCATCTCTTCCTTAATGGATTCTTGACCAGCTTTTATCTCTCTTTAACTGATTCTTGACAAACTTTCATCTTTTTTCGAACAGCTTTCATTGCCTCTTTAACTGACTCTTGACGAGCTTTCATCTCTTTAAGTAAATACCTGTCAAATGTGATGTTTACATTCAACTCCCACCTATGTTGATTTTATCTCCATACTCAGTATGGAGGATAACACAGGATGGCATCCAAATGAGTTCATCTTTAAACTGCTGAGCTAAATCTTTCCAAATGGTGGTAACATTCGCTCTGTATCAACCACCATTTTACTAGGAACTGCATTGATATTGCCCATGTCAGTCAATTATTGCCACCACTCACTGCAGAAATCTGAAGTGCTTTGAAATGGGGCTTCTCATTATCCTTCAAATTCTTCTCTGCAATATCCCATTAATTTGCTGTGTCGTTTCTGGGGAATGGTTTTAGTTTCCGTGCCCTGGGATGTTCTTCAGCTTCTCAGTTTGTGGCCTTCAGCACCGCAGTTCCAGTGTATTGATTTCTTGTCACTCTTATTCCATCTCAAGACATTGACTTGTCTGTTTCAATCGTGTGTCTTATTTTCTGCGCTTTGGGATATTCTGCAGATCCTTCGCATGTACCCATCTTTCTAGCACTTTGAAGTTTGTGGGGCTACCTTCTCCCTCACATTTTGTTTGGCGTTTCGAGTTCTACTCTTCGTGCATGCGCAATAAGAATATCAACTCTGCGCGACTGCAAAAGAAAACTTTTCGCCTTCTGTTTTTACAAGTTCATGTACGCGTTTTACTCATCGCTGAGATTCCTGTTATTTATTTGCCATGTACGTATTTTGATTGCCATGTACGTATTTTGATTAATTAAAGAATTTATTTTTCTAAATTGGGTGTCTAGCCATTAATCAGTCCCCAAATTGGTGACTACGGCATTAAGAAGAACACGTTTTTAATCGCTCGGGAACGTCTGTTAAGGATGATACTATCGTTTCAACGCAAGCACCTGAAATTAACAGAATCTCAGTTAAAGTACCGCCGTTTTGGAAAGATAATCCAAGTATTTGGTTTTGCCAGATTGAAAGCCAATTCTTTAACAGTGGGATAACTACCAATATCACAGAATACCATATAGTGGTAGGCCACATCGAGACTGACATCTTAAGTCAGGTAAGTGATATAATTGATCCTCCTCCAGTTATTGATGCTTATGACACTCTTAAAAAAAGATTAATTGAAGTATTTTCTGATTACAAAAATAAAAAAAACTTTTGAGAGACATTGATTTAGGCGACAAACACCCATCCGTTTTACTTCGACAAATGCAAGAACTGGCTGGACCTCTCGTCGGAAATGAATTACTAAAATCATTGTGGCTTTAACGCCTTCCAGCCCCGGATGCAAGTCACATTGGCCTCTTCTGATATCGAACTTAAAAAATTAGCAACTATGGCTGACAAAATCTCTGACATCACAAGTCCTATTCAGCTTTATGCAATGGACGTGAAATCGAAAGTAATAAATTTTACTGATACAAGTGAAGCTTTAGATAATTTACAGAAACAAAATCTGATTTAAATAAAAAAGTAGATAAAATTTTTACATTGTATTCTCGTGTTCGATCTCATTCCCGTGGTCGTTCTAATTCTACATCTAGATCCTTGCCCACGAATAAACAAACCGAAAACACATCCTTGTGTTAGTACCACACTAAGTTTGGCGAAAAAGCCATTGAATGCAACAAACCTTGCACTTTTAAATCAGAAAACTAGACGGCTAAGCGTGTGTGGCGACAAACACCATAGGCCAAAATAACTGTTGCGTCCTTGTATATGAAAAATCTTTAAGAACACATTTCTTGGTTGACACAGGCGCTGAATTGTCTGTTTTGTCTCCTACTTCACAAGACTGACGTAAACCAACATCCTTGTTCAATTTAATTGCAGCAAATGGTACCAAAACTGATGTATATGGAAAACATTTAGTCAATTTAGACATAGGTCTAGGCCAAATTTTTCCATGGACTTTTACAATTGCTAATGTTTCGCGACCAATTTTGGGCGCAGACTTTTTAAGTAATTATGGTATTATTGTTAATTTGAAATGCAAAAAATTAATTGACAGCATGACTAACGTTGAGTCTGATGGCAAGGTATCACAGGATACTGTACCCAAAATTACAGTTTTACAACCGTTACTTGTGTTTAATGATTTACTTAAAAAATATGATTCTCTGTTTCAAGATGTTTTAAAACTGCCTTTAGATAACAATACTCGTGGAATTACACACGTAATGGAAACTAAAGGTTCTCCAGTAGCAGCTAAGGCTAGGCGCCTGACAAATTGGCTGCTGCAAAAGCAGAATTCACATATTTAGTTCAAAAAGGCATTTGTAGCCCTTTGTAATACTTCTTTGGTGATATGAAGCAACTCCAATGATGGAACACAGCAATAACTTTTATTTAACACCGAAAGAAATGGTGACATACAAAACAAGAAGAGAAAACATATTCTAACATTTAAAAATAAATTACATTCTTCGTGTGAGAGTCGCACATGGCACTCGAGTCTGGTTTCAAATATTGCCATTCACAAATAGCTTAATGTTCATCTAATTAAATTTTTAAACTACAAGATTTTAATAATATTTAAAGCTGTTACAACCTCTTCCCCAACGGAGAGACTTTTTCCGAAGGGAAAAGTTCTGTAAAATTCGAAAGTTTATAAGCTCGGCTTGCTCAATTGCTTAAAGAGAAAAGGTAATTTCTCTTATAAATTTCCAAATTTCAGGCCAAAAATGTTAAGTTTTAAACAAATACTTTTACACCACATTTAAATGGAAAGAAAATTGACAGTGTTCAAATTAGTCTTCCTTTCTTTTTCTTGACGGCTCCTAGATCTCTTCCATGGTGGACCAGTTCCTCGGCTATAATTCACAGCAAAGCC